CCTCTCTAAGGATGCGTACTTGAGCTAAGTTCAGAGGAAAGAGAAAGGCCAGCCAGGCAGCAGAAAGGGCAGGGGTCATGGCTCTGGGGAGCCCCTGCGTGGGGCGTTCAGAAACAGCTCCAGCCAGCTGGGCATCGCAAAGTGGGCAAAGAGCCATGGTGATGGCCGAAGCCAGCACAGGAGACTGATGCCAGGCCATGTGGGCCCCAGATATTCAGCCTCGTCCACTGAGACCCTGCTGGGTGCAGTGAGCCAGACAAACAGATCCCTGCCCCAGGGAGATACCTTCCAGTGAAAGGCGGATGGAGGGGGCACTTGAAGGAAGGAGCAGAAGTGGGCACCGTGCTGCTGGGGGAGACAAGAGTGAGGGGAGCCTTCCCGGTGTGGGGTGTGGCCGGAGCAAAGGCCCCCAGGTGGGATGTGCTGGAGGCTGAGGGGTAAAAGAGGGCAGAGTGAGAGAGACCGGGGCAGGCTCTGAGGGCCACAGCCAGTGGAGGGCTTGTAGCCGGGGAGACCAAGACATGCTCTGGTTTTTGGGCTGCCATGCTAAGGGCATGGAGGGGTGGGGACGAAGGGCAGGTTCTGGATGGCGTTTGAAGGGAGCCACGGGGCTGGGGCCGGGGGGTTGGGCCTGCTAAGTTTGAGACCCAGCTTAGACGCCTAAGTCTGGAGCCGGAGCCGGAGTCGAGAGGCTGTTAGCCAGCAGATGGAATGGAAGGCCGAGGACCAGAAGAGAGTACCTAGACCCAGAGGAAAGGCCCTCGGGTGTCAGGGATGGAAGAGGAGGAGGGGCTGGAGCAGTGTCGGACAGCGCTGGGGGACTATGAGGAGTAAAGGACTGTGGCCTCTCAGGGTCATCAGCCACGATGGGGAAGAGAGAAGTGTGGCAGAGGGAGACAGCAGGAGGACACAAGGAGGTGGGCACACAAAGTGGGGAGCCACCTCGCCTCCCCCGGATGAGATGGGGAACCCCCAGCCCAACCTGACCCTCCTAGGGGCATCTCTCCCTGAAAAATGCTTTCTTTTCCTTTCTTTTTAAATTGTCCTACAGTGAAACGGGCTTTTTGGGGTACAGTTCAATGAATTTCCACACAGTCAGGACGCAGGCCAGTTCCATTGCCTACTGGAAGGTTTGGAGCCAGATGGGGGACCAAGAGTCTGACTCGGCAGCCAGAGAGAGCTCAGAAACTCCACCTGGAGAAGGGACAGGAAGGATAGAGGGCTTTGCTGGTGGGGGTTGCGGTCCCAAGGGGACCCCAGGACCCCAGGCAGGACATAGCAGCAGCAATGGAGGTGGGGAGAGGCTCAGATGTGGAAGATGCTTTTGAGTTAGGGTAGGGCCCATAGGACATGCGGATGTCTGGTGCATAGGGTCAGGGCGTCAAAGCGCCTCTGAGGTTTGGCCAGAGCCCTGCACTGGGAAGGCTGCTGGTGGGCAGAGTTCAGCTGGAGCACTGATAAGAGTTCTCCCTGGGCCTCCTGCAATTTGAGAGGTCCCTTAGGCGTTGAAGGGGGGACACCTGGGAGGCAGCCAGGGCAGAAGTCTGGCAGTCCAGGAAAAGGTGGACGTGGTGCAGCTGGTATCTGCAGTATTTACAGTGACCTGATAGTCTATAAACAGCATTGACAGCCTTGGGGGCCATGAGAGTCCTTTGGGAGTAGTAGAGGGGGGCGCGTCCTGGGTTGGGAGTAGAGCAGCAGGTGGTGCAGGAGCCTGAAATGAGGACAGAGTGAACCCAGGCTGGTGGAAGGAGGGCATCCTCGAGCACCCAGGTAGGAGTGCAGCCCTCTGGGATGGGCCTCTCTTAGAAATGTTTGCTGCTTTCCATTGAATCAATCTCCTGGGAATTGACTGCATCCTTCAGTGTTGGGTGGGCTGAAAACACCCTACCCTAAGACCAACACCAAAACATTGTTTAATGGCCCAGGATTAGAATGCAGGGAAAATAGAGCCTGGAGAAAGCTGACTCACTGTCAGCTGTAACAGACTCACCAGGACTCCAGCCAAGCTTAGCACCCCCGAACAGCAGAATGTTGAGGGGCAGCCCTTCCATCCTGCAGTGGTTCACTCAGTCACTTGTGCATTCCCCAAGTGTCTGCTGAGCAGCTGCTCTGGGCCAGGCTCTGGTGTTAAGCCACAGACAAGGCAGATGCCATCAAGGAGGGGCACGCTGGAGCAGCTGGTGGGACTGGAGTAGCAGTAGCAGCAGAAGCCCAGCCTGGAAGGAAGGACTGGTTCCATGGCCTGGCTGCCCTTTGTGGAGGTCTTTGGAGTTGAGCCAGGTGCTGTGAGACCTGTGCATAGGTTTGAGCAGGGGCCTGGCCTGATCACACGCCCCAGGTCTGAATGAGGCCACCAGCTCAGTGAGGAGAAGGGTGTGGCCAAGGTCACCTGGTGTACTGCCAGCAATCTCACCCCACACAGCCCTGGGGTCAAGGCCTGCAGCATTGTGTCCTTTTTGTGACTTGACGGGCATGGGCAACAGCTGGAGTAGGCGATGTCCCAGGCAGCTTCCATACCACAATCCTGTACCAGAAAAGGCCTAAATAATGAGGCAACATCTGCATTGGCTACAAAAGGTGAATTCTGTTTCTTTTCATTAAAAATGTCAAATTATTCTCAATTTCTGTGTTACCCCTAATTCAGAAACCAGTCTGGAGATAAAGGCCTGAGTGAGAATAGCTGACCATCTGCCGTCTGGCAGATGTGACTTTCCCGAATCCAGAGAAAATCCTAACCAGATTTCAGATAGGGTGCTAGAAAATTCCAATATGGAGCTTTTTGGCTCACTTTTATTATTATTATTATTTTAAATAGGAACAGGGAGTATCACTCTGTTCCCCAGGTTGGTCTCAAACACCTGGTCTCAAGCAATCAGCCCACCTCAGCCTCCCAAAGTGCTGGAATTACAGCCGTGGACCACCAAACCTGGCCCTGGCTCACTTTTTGCACTGGAGAGGTGATGAGGTTGGCATCATTTCAACTGTTCAGGAGCACTGTGCTTTGCCTAGCTGAGCCCCTGCAGGGCTGAAAGAAAGTCACTGAAAAAAGGTGATTCATTGTCTAAACTAGGGGGCGGCTAACTTTTCCTATACAGAGCCAGAGAGGAAATATTTTTAGCTTTCCAGGCGTGGTCTCTGCTGCCGTGACACAACTGTGCCCTTAAACCAGTAAAACTTTATTAACCAAAACTAGCAGAGAGCTGGGGTTAGCCCTTGAGTAAGCCCTGACACCTTGTCTAAATCCAGAAAACCAAATCCTAAATAGAACCTTGGCCCCGGAAATGCTTCAGAACTCCTAATGTGTCCACCTGCTCACATAGGGAGGGGTGGACAGGTGTTGGATGAACCCCAGGGTCTGCCTGGAAGCTCAGCGCTCTGTCTGCTGCCCCCTATAGGGACGGCAGTACAAGGTGGGTCAGCTACCACTGGCGGCTGTGCTGACTCTGGCCTGTGCGAGGCCAGGCAGAAGTCTCCCCATCAACTCCTTGCTTCTAGAAGCAGGAAGGAGCCCAGGCTGAGGGGCCAGGGAGCAAAGAGAGGCAGCAAGGACTTGAGTGCGTGAGGCAAGGTGGAGAAGCCAGAGGAGGGAAGAGCTCATTCTTGGAGTAGTGCCCTGCTGGAGGGTCAGGGGGCTTCAGAGGTGCCATGAGCTCAGTTGGGGGCAGAGGGCCACTGTGCTGGGGGAGTCTGGGGCTCAGCGGGAGGTCTTTCCTGCAGGGAGTTCTGCTGATCTGAGGTCTGCTAACTCCTGTGGGGAGGGACCGCCAGGGAACAACACAGAGTGAAGCCCGGGGGGGTGGTGGAGACGCAAGTTTTTGAATGTCTGACTGGAAGATGGAGGAGGAGACGGGAGAGAGGACGGGGGAGTGAGGCCAGAGGAGCAGGGGCACCAGATTGTACCAGACCCAGTCGGACTCGGGGGCTATGAGGAGGCCACAGGGGCATCTGAGCAGAGACAGGCTTTAGTGGGTGCAAATCAAGAGTGTGGCCATTTTCGTCTCAAATACCTCCAGCTGGGGACTGCTGGGCTCTCTGGCCTGGAGCTCTGAGTACAGGCCTGGGCCACAGTTCCTTGTTATAGCCAGATGGGCCCCAGCACGGTGGCCAGGGCGGAGAGATATGGACAGAGAGGAGGAGGGACAGAGCCAAGCCAGAGCTCTGGGGCACGCAGGGACAGAAGAGAGGGCAGTGGAGGAGACGGGGCCAGAGCAGCTGGTGAGGTGGAAGAGGGCCAGGCAGGGGCAATGTCAGGAAGCCATGAGAAGTTTCCAGAAAGAGGGATGATCATCTGTGTTGGGTGCCCTGAGGGATCAAATAAGACGAAGATGCAGAAGTGGACAGCGCAGTTAGCTGCAGGGGGACTCTGGGCATGGCAGGTCCCAGCTCCAGCCATGGGAGCTGGGGGATGGAGGGAGACCCATGCGAGAAAGACCGGCAGTGCCCATAGGCTGGGAACTTGCTTATACCAGCAGGTACTTCTGACTTTCTGGTAAGATCGAGAAGAGAGCCCACCCACCAGCATTCTCTCCTTTTCAAATCGTCTTTCTTTTCTACCAAATTGGAATTCAGATTGGGCAGAGACCCGGGAGGTCACTGAAGCCAGTCGTCCCCCCGGGACAGGGAATTGGGAGGTCGCAGCCATGAGCCTAGTGCAGCACTCTCGAGTTCCAGAATACCTGCGCAGCTCAGCCTAGAGAAAGACACTGCCATCTTTTCCTGCATGCAGATTGGTTGACGAGACCAAGGCCCACACCCGAAAACCCTTTCCAAAGGCAGGCAGAGCCACCCCATTCTGTAGCAGCCCTCCAACAAATGGGTGGACATTTCTCATGCCATGACCCCCAGCCATTGATGTGGGTGGAACTTACCAGCACCAGCTGGCCACTGACTGTCTCCTTCCTTCTTTCCTACCTTCCTTCCACCTTTCCTTTCCTTTCCCTTCCTTTTCTCACTCCCTGCTCCCACGTTGGGCCCTGTCCCTCCATCTCCCACTCCAGATCCCGGTGGTGAAAGCGTTCCGTAGCTCACTCTATGAAGGCCTGGAGAAACCAGAATCCAAGACCTCCATTCACAACTTCATGGCCATGCCCGAGTTTCTGATCAATGACTACACCCACAACATCCCGCTCATCGATGACACGGACGTGGACGAGAACGAGGAGCACCTCTGGGCCCCCCAGCCCCCATCCCCCAACCAGAACAACAACGCCATAGACAGCGGCATCTACCTGACCACGCATGTCACCAAGTCAGCTACCTCTTCAGTGTTTTCCTCCAGTCCCGGGAGCCCGCTCCACAGCGTGGAGACATCCCTCTAACAAGAACTTGTCTCAGCACATGTGCACACGGACACTTGGACTCACACGAAGTCACATGCACACATGCACGCACACACACATATAGGGACCTGCACACCTGCAAAACGGGGGAACAACTAAGGTGGCTGAAGACCTTTCTGGCAGGGCATTTGCAAGAAGCCAAATCCATTCAACAAGGGTGCAGCCTGCCACAGGCTCCTCATCCGGACTGAGGAAGATGAGGACGGGGAGGAGGAAAAGGAGGAAGAGGAGGACAAAAAGGGGGAGGAGAAGGTTCTTCATCCGAAGGAGGAAGGAGAAGAAGTAGAAAGTGTGAAGAGCTGAGTTCCCCACCTTTTTTTCTATTGATGCTTCTTTTTTAACGAACTACAGTTTCACCACGTGTTTGCTTTTGGGCTGTGCAGTGGGCAGGGGGCTGCTTTGGGTTTATTGGGAGCTTTTGTTGCACCCATGAAGGAGCAATCAGGTCAGCATATTCATGCAAAAAAAAAAAGTTGAGTGCTCTGCAGGGCTGTGAAGGGTGCCACCTGAGGGAGCCACATGCAAGCGGCCCTGCAGCCACAAAGCAATCCATCCCCAGCAAAAACTAGGCACATCTGCAGTGTGCATGTGTGTGCATGTGTGCACATATATGTAGGTGGATCTGTACACATGCACATATATATGGCCAGAAGCATATTTCAATAAGGAACTATTTACTGGCATGATATTTGCATTCCTCTTTTCAGGCATTTTCATTTGGAAATTTCATTATTGAATGTAGCAAGTTTTTTTTTTTTGCTGTTGTTGTTTTTTGTTTTGTTTTGTTTTGTTTTCGGGGAACTAGACTGCAAGAATAGCTTTCTGATCAATCCATTTTTGTCCCTCATCTCCCTGCCCCCATCCTTCGTTCCTGCCCTCTGCCTGGTCCTATTGAGATTCCCAAGAAGGCGGAGAGGGGACGCTCCAGGTCTGGAGCAGGTATAATTGGAGCATTTGCACTGAGACCCCTGCCAGAGAGGAGAAAACCCTTTCAATTGAAATTTTAATCTAAAAGGAAAATAACAAAATATTGATGAGAAGGAGTCCCCCAGTTAGTGAAACAGGAGTTTCGTTTTCAGCTTTCTTTGGTTTCTGCTGCAATTCCACATCCTTCATCCTGGCCACGCCCCCAACTTCAAGAGCATGAAGCACTCTTGGAGTTGTGGGTCCTGCCCAGAGTCCAGGGAGCAGCCCCAGCTGAGCACAGGTCCTAGGGGGCGGGGGCAGGGCCAAGAGTTCTAAAGAAGCCAATGGAGGGAGAGGGAGCGTCAGAAGCCCGGAGGAGCTGGCGGTGGGAGAATGACGGCAGGGAGGCAGCCACAGTTCAGACCCTGTCCCCTCAGCACCTGGATGGACTCCCACTGTTTGCTTTAGCAAATGCCGAGGAGTCCTCAGTAGACCACCTCAATGTCTGCTGTGACACCGGAGATGCCATCACCAAAGCACTCTTCCCACCCTAGTCTTTGTGTCCAGAGGCCAAGCTTAAGCCATGAAGGCATGGATTTGTGGCTGAGCACCAGGTACTGAGGGGAGCCTGTCCTGGCAGTGTGGGCACCTGGTGGCCAAGCCTCAGTTTCCCCCAAATGAGCAGAGGGGATAAAGAGGGGCCTGACTTTTGCCACCCTCCTGAGGAAGCCCCTAGGTCCACACAGTGATGCCATGGGGGACCCTTGCCTTCTGCACTTGCAGGTGTCACGTTTTGCAGGGAGGTGGTTGGGCCTGGGGCTCAGCCGCTGGGAGACAGTTGGGACCTGAGGGACAGAGGATAGGAATGGAAGCCACCAATGTGGACTGGCACCCTCGGGAGGCTTGTCATACCTCCACTGGCATCCACACAAACCAAACAGGAGCAGGCACCATCCCCACTATTACCATTAATGCCATGTCACCCCTCAGCAGGAGTAGTCAAATCTCGGGCAAAGAATTTTGGCTAGAAAAGAAAATCCCACTTTAAAATGCCAGCTGCAGATAACTCAAAGCCATCCCTTTTTTCTAAAGGGCACATTGAGAATGTTACCCATTTGTAAACTGTTCCCTGATGTCCTTGTTTAGACGATAATAAGAAAAAGGGCAACTCCATTTGTTGAGGGTCTTTGTGTTCTTCAACGAGAAATCAAATTTGAGACATTGACATTGCGGAAGATGAGCTGCGTGCTGCTGCAATCACCAGCTTCTTCTCACTCTGTCGTAGACACACCGATAGGACCAATGGCCAATAGATATTAAAAGCAAACCCTCACTGCTGCTGTATAAAGTTGCCTCATGTGAATGTTGATCGTTTAGTCCCTAGGTCACCTTTGTGCTGTGGTGTGCAGTTCAGAAATGGGGCACCGTGATCTGGAATGTTTTGCTCTTATTTTTGCAGTCTTCAGGCGGGGGGCCCTGTCTCACTGGGAAGCCCCTCTTTATAAAGCATTATATTACCTGGAATGGCTTGGTCAACTGTGTTCAGTTCATAAATATGTTTTACATTTTTATCTGCCTGTTACAAAGATGAACAAAAAAAACTTAATGAGAAAGATCACAGATGCATAATAATTTAAAGTCTGTAGTTGAATTTCCTAACTTAAAGAATAGACCAAAATTTCTGTGCATTAAAAAAATGAAAGGCTCCTTACATCCTGGTCTGGGTAATGTGTGTGATTTATTATTTGGTGAGTTAACGTGCGGAACAAAACAAAGGTGCCTTCATGCCGCTTTAACAGAGCTGGAGAAGCCATGGGCAGGAGGGGGTTTCCCCTGGGTGTGCAGCAGCCTGGCCGGATGTGTAAGCAGAAGAGGAACTAATGCTGGGATGTTAGGCCCCGTGGGGAGGGGCTCCAGCTGCTGCAGGAGCTATGGCTGCCTTGACTTGAAAGGGCCTGTAGTACATGGCCCAGTGGCTCAGGCCTGTAATCCCAGCGCTTTGGGAAGCCGAGGCAGGAGGATCCCTTGGGCCCAGGAATTTGAGGCTCCCTGACACACATGCACACTCCTCACTTCTTTTATTGTGGTAAAACACAGATCACAAGCACATTCACGGTGCTGTGCAGCCATCACCACCATCCAGCCACGGAACTTGTTCATCTTCCCAAACTGAAGCTCTCGACCCGTTCAACCCCAACTCCCCACTCCCCAGCCCCTGGCACCCACCCTTCTACTTTCTGTCTCTATGGATTTGACCACACTAGGCCCCTCATACCCTCATAGAAGTGGAATCCTACAGTATTTGCCCTTCTGTGACTAGCATGATGTCCTCAAGGGTCACCCATGTTGAAGCATGTGTCAGAATTTCCTTTTTAAGGGGAATCATACTCCATTGTCTGGATATGCTGCATTTTGTTTATGCCATCAGCCATCCATGGACATTTAGGTTGCTTCCACATTTCAGCTCCTGTGGATCATGCTGCAGTGAACATGGGCATGCAAACTGCCCTTCCAGACCCTGCCTTCCATTCCTTTGGGCCTATACCCAGCAGTGGAATTACTGGATCCTATCGGGACTGTAGGTTGAACCTTTTGAGAAACCGCCATTTTCCATTCTCATCAGCAGTGCAGCAGAGTTCCAATCACAGAGGCCTTTGCTAATCCAAAGCCACAGGAAGAAAGCCCGCCATTTCACTCATTCTCTTAATCCACATACTTCATCCCTAAACACCTGTACCTGTGCACGCCCATGCTCCATGGTCCCACTCCCGCTTGAGCCCAGAAGAGCCAGGACTTGCCAGTGACCACCCTGGCGATGGCGCTAAGACCACACTCCCCTCACTTCATTGGATTTCTCTTTCCCTTTTCGACTTGGCAGCATCGGAAGACGCATTTTCCAGGAAGGCTGCCAAGAGATCATTCAAAGCATCAGAGTCCATGCTTCTAAAACCAGCGAAAAGACCAATGGGGCCAGGCGCAGTGGCTCACGCCTGTAATCCCAGCATTTTGAGAGGCCAAGGCGGGGGATCACTTGAGGTCAGGAGCTCGAGACCAGCCTGGCCAAAATGATGAAACCCTCTCTCTACTAAAAATACAAAAATTAGCCTGGCATGGTGGTGCACGCCTGTAATCCCAGCTACTTGGGAGGCTGAGGCAGAAGAATCGCTTGAACCCAAGAGGTGGAGGTTTCAGTGAGCTGAGATCATGCCACTGCACTCCAGCCTGAGTGACAGAGTGAGATTCTGTCTCAAAAAAAAAAAAAAAAAAAAAGAAAGGAAGAAGAAAAGAAAAAAGAAAAGAAAAGAAAAGAAGACAAATTGAAAACAGCAGGCAGAAGAATCGCACCATGCCCTTGCTGCATTGGTGTCCAAGTGCATCCTGAACCATAGGGATGAGTAAGTCCAGATTGAGCCAAAGTCCACACCAAGACAGATGGCCCTTCATGGAGAGATATCATGCTACCCTAAAAGAATCACAAATATGTGTCTGTGAATCCCCTGTCCACAAGCTTCTGCTTCAGATATGACACAGGTGCCACGGGGGAAAATTGGTACTCAGTGAAACAGCTGAGTCCTGGGAGTAAAGGCTTGTGCAGGGGTCTCGGGGAGGCCCGTGTGTGAGTGGCCCATGGCTGCTCACAACAACAGAAACTTCTCTCACAGTTCTGAAGGCCAAAAGTCCAAAATCAAGGCATGGGCAGGCCATGCTCCCTCTGAAGGCTCCAGGGCAGAATCTGTTCCAGGACCTCCTCTTAGCTTTGGGCATTGCCAGCCGTCCTCAGAATTCCTTGGCTTGTAGATACTTCACTCCAACCTCTGCCTCTGTTGTAGTGTGGCTTTTCTCCCGTGTCTGTCTCTCCTCCTTTTTTCTTATGGCTTTTTTTTCTCACCCACAGCACAGTTCAATGCATGTGGGAGGCTCTGTTAGGCTGCAGAAGAAATATAGGCACGGAGGCTGTTTCCAGCTTGCAATTCTGTCACCTCCAAGTCCTTTCTTTCTGGAAGTTCAGATAAGAAAATAGATGGTGTTTACACCTTTGCCCTTAAGTGCTTACAGTGACACCTATACAGTCCCCTGGACTTCCAGAGATGAACATGAAGCACATGATCCTATCTAGAATTGGTGGACACTAACTTTCCCCAACACAATGACTGCCTGTTATTTCAAGCAACTACTATGTTCTTTATTGGTTTTACATTTTAACATACCAGGCCAGGCATGGTGGCTCACACCTGTAATCCCAGCACTTTAGGAGGCCAAGGTTAGAGGATCACTTGAGTCCAGGAGTTTGAGACCAGCCTGGGCAACATAGCAAGGCCTCATCTCTACCAAAAGTAAAAATAAAATTTAAAAAATAGCCAGCCATGGTGGTGCACACCTATAGTCCCAGCTACTCAGGAGGCTCAGGTGGGAGGATCGAATGAGCCCAGGAGGTCAAGGCTGTAGTGAGTCATGATTGCAAAAGAAAAGAAAAAACAAAACAAAACAAAAGAAAAAAAGAGGGGAGGGAGGGAGGGAAGGAGAAAGGAAGAAAGGGAGGGAGGGAAGGAAGGAAGGAAGGAGAAAAGAAAAAAGAAGAGAAAAAAGAAAAAAGAAAGGAAAAGAAAAGAAAAGAAAAAAGAAAAGAAAAGAGAGGTGGATCAATTAGCCCAAGATACAAGGGTGACGGAACCAGCCTTAACAGCCAAGCGGTCTAACTCCAGAACCCACTCTTTCGTTTGTTGGAATGTTAAAAATATATTGAATGCTAAAATGTTTTTTCTTTTCTTTTCCGGTCTCGAACTGCTGGGCTCAAGCCATCCTCCTGCCTCAGCCTCCCAAAGTGCTGGGAATACAGGCATGAGCCATTGTGCCTGACGTAATTTTTTTTTTTTTAATAGACAAGAGGTCTTCATATGTTGCCCAAGCTGGTCTTGAACTCCTGGGTTCAAATGATCCTCCTGCTTCCACTTCCTGAAGTGCTGGGATGACAGGCCTGAGCCACCATCCCCTGCCTATTTTTAAAATGTTTGAGGAATCTCCATACCGTTTTCCACAGTGGCTATACTATATCCCCCCAGCAGTGTGTGAGTGTTCCTTTTTCTCCACATCCTCACCAAAGCTTGTTTTCTTTAGTTTGATAGTAGCCATTCTAATTGGAGTAAGGTGATATCCTCAATATGGTTTTGATTTGCATTTCCCTGATTACTGACGTTGAGCAATTTTTTCATATACCTGTTGAGCATTTGTATGTCTTCTTTGGAGAAATGTCTATTTGGGTCTATTGCCCATTTTAAAATTGGGTTGTTATTCTGTTGTCTAAATTCCTTATATATTCTGGTTATTAACCCCTTGTCAGACGGAGAGTTTGTGAATATTTTCTCCGTTTTTTTTTTTTTAAAAAAGATACAGTCTCCCTCTGTCATCCAGGCTGGAGTGCAGCGGCGTGATCTCGGCTCACTGCAACCTCCACCTCCCAACTTCAAGCAATTCTCCTGCCTCAGTTTCCCAAGTAGCTGAGATTACAGGCACCCACCACCACGTCTGGCTAATTTTTGTATTTTTAGTAAAGATGGGGTTTTGCCATGTTGGCCAGGCTGGTCTGCGACCTCCCGACCTCAGGTGATCACCCACCTCGGCCTCCCAAAACGCTGGGATTGCAGGCATGAGCCACCACACCCAGGCATCAGGGTCTTTTTTACCATAATTCTTCTGAGCCCTGGCCACCTTCTCTTCCCCTGAGCACTTTTCACTACCATGCTACACATTCTCATTCTGTTTCCCATCTCTCCCTCCACATAAGCAAGGAGTTTCACCAGGTTGCCAGAGCGTAGTCAAGGACTGGGCACACAGTAGCTGCTTAAAAAATGTGGTTCTTTAACTGATTAGTCTTAAAAAGCTTACACCAGGTAAAGCATGAGCCCACATTTAGGAGAAGTTAATCATCAAAACCCACAGGGGAGTTCTACAAAATGAAGGGCAGGTCAGCCGGGGCAAGCCTGCCCACCAGGGAGGCCTGTGACATCTGCTCAGATACTTCACCCTGAGGACACTGAACATAGTCGCTCTGTAAAGTCAAGCAAGACTCTGCCCTGACCTGCATCACCCCTGCCCCCACACCTGCAGGAGCCGGAGCCCACCCTCCTGTGTAAACCTACCAGTCCCCCAGCCCTATGCCACGTGCTGAACGTATGTCTAGCCTGTAAGGGGACCCAGAGAGCATCTCCTGGACTCCTTCTTACCCACTGGCTTTTGAGCAGGGAGTCACTGAAAAACGCATTACTTTTAGTTACTTTTGATCAGGTCTCACTTTTCTGAATGCTAGTGATCCTCCCTAACCCCAGGCCTGCCGCCTGGTGGCTGTGTGGGACACTCTACCTGAGGGCACTCCATGGGAAGCAGTCTCTGGCGGCCCCGCACACCCCCATGTGCAGCATCACTGCAGAGCAAAGCCAAGGGTCCCTATTGACTTGCATCACCTTTTATTACACAAAATAGATTTCAGCCATGTTGCACATTCATTCTCGCCATGAATCTGGCTTTAAAAAATCCCTAGGGATTCAGTCTCATCGATTTCATGGTTTTCCTTTCATTGATGTCATGCCTCTGTTGTAGTCAGAGTCCTCTCAAAGGACAAAAGCAGATGTGTCTGCCTTGGGTCAGCTCACACAGTGCACTCCCGGCCTGCCCACTGGAGGTGCGGCTCCCATCATCGTCTGGACCGCAACTGCTAGGGACT